TGGAGCAGGCGGAGGAGATCATCGGGACGGAAGCCACGGGCTTCACCTCCAGCGAGCAGCTCGAGGCGTTCAGCTGCATCCCGGTGGACAGCGCCGTGGCCGTGGAGTGTGACGAACAAGTTCTGGGAGAGTTTGAAGAGTTCTCCCGAAGGATCTACGCACTGAACGAAAACGTGTCCAGCTTCCGCCGGCCGCGCAGGAGCTCGGATAAGTGAAGCGGGCGGACGGACAGTAGGACCAGGGCAGGGCCGCTGCCTAAAGTGAGGATAAAGCTGCACTGGTTACCCTTTGTAACAATTACGACATAAAATAAATATTAATGGAGGATATTCCTCAGAAAAACAGACTTTGTGAATGGAGGAGGGACTCGGGATCGTTGCGATGGTGGGCCACACAGCCGGGTTTTGCCTGCAGGATTGGCTCTCCAGGCTGCCGGTCCTAAGGCGGAAGCCACTCTCTAGCTCCAGTCGCCTCGTAGGGACTTGTCTGCTTTTTTATTTACACTTCTATGTTTCCCCAGAGGGAAGATGGTAATATATAAATAATATAATGAACTCACCTTTAGTTTCTCAAGCATTTGCCCTCACCAGTTTATAAAACTTTGGGAAAATTGAATATTTAGAAAAAGATTGCTACCATTTCCTGAAGGATCTTTGGCCATTCATTAGGCTGATGAATAGGAAGCACAATAGTCCCCTTAGAGCCAGGCCCACCTGCCCCGCCCCTGCCCTCAGGCCCATAGGCAACCTGGAGACTTCACTGTGCCCCATTTCACAGAGGATGGGTTGTGTCCTGAAAATGGAACATCAGATTCGCAGGTTCTTTAATGCAGTAGCTCTGACCTTCCACCTCTAATCAGCCATACCCTTGAGGTAGCCCTCAAATTAGATGAAAAACCTCACCTTCGGTGGATCCCAGGGACCCCAAGGACCCCAAGGTTGCTGTAGTCGGGTGGCATCCAGTCCCCTTTGAGGGCCAGATTTTTTATGTGGGTAGATGCTGCAGTGAAACTAGGCATGCTTCCTGGCAATATACTCACCAGACAGAAACCATATGTGTAAATCCCATGTTAATTTATTAAATTTCAGTTGGAAAGGAAGACATTGTATGTGATGAAATATATGTAGGGACTCAGGCCATCCAATGTGCAAACTGCAAGACAGTTGAGGTTGTTGGACAAAGAGACTAGATGAGGCATAGAACACTCCTGGTATGTGTGCAGTTGCATAAATATTAAATTACGTTTTTGAAGTCCAGTTGTCATTCCTGGAGCTCATATTTCATTTGCTGTTGCTTTATATTTTATATGCCCAAGGACCTCGCCTCAGGGTACAAGCTCTTTAAGGAAAATTCATCCATGTATCCATGTATTGTATAGAGGAATAAAAATTGAGTGTACTTCACTCGACCTGATTTTTTTTTCAGCTTTGAATTCTGAAACTACATCTCCATGTGTTATGTCACGACAAGACCAGCCTGAACAAAACCGGGGGCTGTGTCTCAGATGATGTTGTTGACTTCATTTGCATTTACAGATTGTTATAGCAACACAGACACCTTCACAGTGTACTCTCTAGTAGCTGCATTTGTCCTACATAACATCTTAACTCATAGGTTCCATAATCATTTTCATATATGGCTCCAGCACTCCTGGGCTCAATTTTCATTTATAGCCACATTTGAAATGGAATAGTTCCTGTTGTTATTTCCCATGTAAAGAGAACTCACAGAATCATTGCATGACAGACAGACCCAAGCTGCAAGCAATTAAAAGCTTTAACTTTAGCTGAAGAAATCCATATGAATTCCACATAAAAAGGTGGGACTATTCCAGAGCTGGAGCAGAAGCCATCTGTAGAGGCCCAGCCTCTTTTCAGTGTGCTGTCATTCATTTTAGAATCAAAGAGGGTGGAGACAGACATGGTCTAGGATATACGTCAGACTGGTCTGTGGGGCCTCCCAATGAAGTAACAATACCCCCCCAAAAAAAAGGTTTTTGAAAGAGAGTGTGAGTATTAAACCATGGGAGGTGAATCATATGTAATTGTGATTTCCCAAGATATGGGAGTGGACTTTAAACTTCATGCCAAACTCAAAGACAAGGTGTATCAACCGCAGGCCCTCCAGCCTGGCTCCTGGCCAAACAGAGGGACCCATTCAGATCACCTGTGGTTACAGCGATTATCTCAGGTTCCACACAACCAGATGGAGCTATGGGGCTCCATCTGCCCATCTCATTCGTGACTACCTGATTCTGGGGTTCACAGCTTTTCACCCCTCAAAATGGAGCCCTGCGTGAATGTGATTAGATTGCCCAGAACTGATCAGTAGTTACTGACACATGTGCTTGGTCTGCAGGGTCCAATGATGTTATGCCTCAAAACACCACTTAGGTTTGGGTTTGTTTAGTTTGCGTTTTCTGTTTTCATTTGAATATTTTTGATGTCTGCAGTTTCTGCCATGACCGGAGTAGAACCTACATGTCTCCAGAAATAACTGTTCAACACTTTCCAATGCTGCAGAATTCGTTTTGCCTGTTTAAAGTGGCTGTGGCCAAAGTATGGGATGAGTTATCATCTCCTACTAATCTTTTTAATCAGTCTTGTAAATCACTAAAATAATCAAATTTGCTTTGGAGATAGAAGTTGAAATGAAAACTCACTACTATCCATTTCTGAACGACTTAAGAGCCCTTACAGCTTTCATGTAGCCGAGACACTTTTAACAGCCAGCAAATGTTATCAAATGAATATTTGATTGTGTTTTCTCTCTCCACTTCCTCTTACCCACTTTAGAAATTCCAGAGATTTTTTCTCCCCTCAGAATATTAGTTTTGGAAGATTGTATCCAGCTATATTTTTTTAGCAGTTCTAATGGTGCCCATTTATCCTGACCTAGCCGGTTATTTAAATAATTTTTTAAACCACCACCAATAATAAATGGCATGTGAAACTGATCTGTTGGTAATTGGAAGAAAACTCAGCATCTGTATTTATAAAATAAAATTGATTAGTATTTATTTTGAGAGTAAAAGTGTATGTTATTTCCCTGCTATGTTTGAGTCCTGTCTTCTTCATTGTTTTGAATTTCACATTGAAGCTGAGTTAAGTAGGAAAACCTCGTTCTTGCTCAGCCAGCTAGTTCATTTATTGAGCTAGTTCTCTCTCTCTCTCTCTCTCTCTCTCTCTCTCACCAAACAAGGTTAATAGAAAGATTAATAAGCTTTGACCTCTGCCACATTCTCTAGTGGAAGGGGGGTTGTTATATTAACAATTATAATTCAGTGTGATTAATTACATGATGAAGGGATATATAGCCGTCCTGTGGAGTGCAGAGAAAGCTGTTCTGACTCAGGGATCAGGAGAGGTTCATGGAGGGTAATGCAGATAAAAGCTGTGTAAGATTTCACATCACAGAAGGAGGGAACCACGTGGCAGAGGCCCAGAGGCAAGACGGGGTTTTGTGTGTTTGCAGAACAGCAAGGAGTTCCCTGTGCTTGGGGTCTGAGTGGATGTGAAGAGGGTGAGAGAACCTGAATCGCAGGCCAGTGGGAAGGACTTCGGTGCCAAGTCGAGAGATTTGAATGCATGCTGTGGGCAGCTCCTAGGTGCCCTTTCCAGGCTTTAGGGCAGAAGAGTGACTTGGTTAGATCTGAATGACGACGCAGCCAAGTTGAGGCTGGACTGTCGTGATATTTGTTTGAATCTCTTTAATCTTTCTTGTTTGTTTAGAAAAAACAAACAAAACCTGTGTCTGAAAAAGAGGGTGCATCCTGGTGTCCCTCATGTTTCAGGGTAAGTACTGAATAGCAAACGGGTTTTGCTGTGTGGTACAGAGTGCAGCCAGCATCTCCTCTTGAGAAGCTTAGTTCCCAATTGCCCAGCTCGGCCACTCTGAAACTCCTGTCATTGTACTTTTAAGGACCCCATTTTTTAACCTGTAAAAACTTGGAGAGAAGTCTACCCTGCCATCCTGTTTGTGTGGGGCCTGAGCCATTAGTGTTGGTTCTCCTGTGTCCTGTGGAGGCCACTGGGGAGTGACCGAGGGTCCCTATTCCAGCGCTTGGGCACAGCCACTCAATCTCTCTGAACCCCGCTCCTAACCCGTGAAGTGGGGGTAATACCCCCCACCCCCCAGGGTCGGACAGTGTGAAAGAGAACCATTTCTAAGAAAGCCCTTGGTCTTTACAAAGCACCGCGCACATGGGGAGGAGTCGCTCGTGCAATGGGCCGCTTGCATCGTGGATCTTGGGCTGTGGCAGGACAAGGCCTCGTTCTGGGGACATTAAGGATGTGTCAGGACTCACTGTAACTTGAAAAACTGAGCTCTAAACAAATGTCAGGTGTTTCGGGTGTTTGGGTGGGTGACACGGACACAGTGTTGAGACACAGCCCAGCAGCTAATGAGCTTAATTTTCATGTGTCTTGCCCCCAGCAGACGGACTCATTTGGGCCCCCCTCATCCAAAAGCGACCCCTCAGCTCCGGCCGCCTCGCTGAAGCCGAGTCGGAGCCGGGCTCTTCATTTAGCTCCAGGCAGGTGGAGGCTTGCTTTTTCTTTCCTCAGCGCATCTAATTACAGTTTGTAGGTAGACAGCTCAGCCTTGTGGATTTTAAATGAATAAAAAATACATGTCTATAAAATAATTCCACGCTTTCTAGAGGCTGGCAGTGTCAGCAATCCAGAAACAGAACAGTCACGAATCGAGATACAAATGAAAAATTCAGCCAGTGTGTGATCGCTGCCGCCAGCCAGGCCCGGGCCTGGGGCTGTGAGGGGAGAGCAGCAGGCCCGGGGCCCTTCTGTTTCTCGTAGTCGCCGGCAGGTCACAGGAATGGAGAGCCGGAGTGGACAGAGGCAATGAATAACCTCCCTTTAAGAAGCACCCACGAGCCGTGAGGAAGGAGGCCGTGTGGGCAGCTTGACTGAGGAGCCCTGACAACAGCCAGCCCGGGATTCAGAGCCCAGCCCTGTGGCTCACTGGCTGTGTGGCCGGGGCAGGGCGCTTGACTTCTCTGAGCCGGTGTCCTCCTCCTCGGCCCCTGGCTCAGGTTTTTCCTTAGGCCTGGGCAGAGACTCCTCTTGCTCTAGGGGTAAATTTGTATTCCTTCTTCAAAACCTGTCTCAGGTTGCCTCGGGGCCCAGAGCCTGGCAGGAACGGAGAGGCCCCTCCCGTCGCTGCCAGTTGTGAAGAACTCGGGGCTAAACCACAGAACGACAGCTGCTTCGCTCAGGGTTTTATGTAGAGCCGAACAGCTACCATCCTGCCATCTACTCGGATCCTTGACACAAGGGTTTGTGAATATATCAAAAATGAATAAAGGAGCTAGCTTTAAACAGTCAGCTTGAATGTGACTTACTGTCCCTAAGGATAGCTCTCAGTCATCAGAAAAAGTATCAGTTTAATTCAATAGGAGATGCATAATATGTTTTAAGGTAGTTTTTCTTACAGAAATAGTTAAAGTATAAAGATTTGGAAGGGCTGGTAGAGTTAGACTATCACCACATGGCACCTTCTGTGAATTCATGCCTCTACCACAATGACCATCAGTGGCTGCTAGTGTCACAAAAAGAGAAAAAACCACACACTTTATGCCTCCTGATGGAAGAACAGAGCACCAATGAAGTACTCTTGGCAAATCCTTGACCCTAAATATGATCACAGCCCTATCTGTGATGTCCAGTGCAATAAACCCCAGCCACGGGTGACTTAGTAACTGAAAAGTGGCCAAAGTAAGATGTGCAGTAAGTATAAAATACACAGTGAATTTCAGAGACCTACTACCAAAATAGGATGTAAATAATTTTATGTTAATTTCCATATTGATTACATGTTATAATGTTAATATTTTGGATATACTGAATTTAATAAAATATGTCATTAATTTCATCAGTTTCTTCTTAGTTCTTAAAATGTGACTACTAGAAAAATTTTAATTACATATGTGACTTGCATTTGTGGCCCACTATATATTTGTACACTTTCTCTAAGTGTACGTTTCCCTGGGTGTCACCCCCAGTAGCCATGAGCTCCCAGCTGGCAGGCACCTGTGTTAAAGCACAGCTGGTGCTTGGGAGAGTTTGCTCGACTGGTGTCAGTGGGCTCAGTGCCCTTTTTATAGATGAAGTAGTTGAGGCTGAGATAAGTCGGTGTCATCACTAAGGCCACAGAGCTAAAATGTGATGGAGCTAGGACTTGAAACCAGAACCTTAGAGTCACTTCTCAATACATCTGAGCTGCAGGCCACGGTTCCCTTCATTCGTTCATCCATTTAGCATTGACTGGGCGCCCCCTGTTGGCAGGGCACTAGCTGAAAATGGGGCAGTGCTATGAAGAAAGTCCACAGGGTGACCATGAGAGGGTGACGTGAGGAGCCCACTTTGCCCTGGGATCTCAGGCAAGCCTCCTTTTGGGAAGTAAAATTTAAACACATTTGAAGGTAGAAAGCCCATTCCAGCCCTAAGGAACAGGTATTCAAAACCTTGGAGTAGGAAGGAGCATGGCACATGGGAAGGACTCACGGGGAACCCAAGGGCTGGAGGGGGTTGACGAGTGATGGGGCTGGAGAGGTGGACAGTAGCCAGGTTTTCTCAGGCTGGGGTTCACAGGCATCACCCTCTCCCCGTCCAGTTTTCTTCCAATGGTATTTTACAACGTACTATTTGTTTAAACACACACACTCAATACAAGCACAGCCTGACCCCTCCAGCGGCCCCCTAGGACTCAGCTTCAGCGTTGGCCCTGCATTTATATGGACCTTCTCACTGGCATGAGGAATATTCCCATCATTAGTGAGTTTTGATAGACAGTCACAGCCCAGATGCGCAGAAATGTAACTATTTCCCCGTAACAGCCCTCAAACCGCTCTCACAGCTGCCCTCTTCAGCTGGTTGCAGAAAACTCTTGATCTTCCCACTTCAGGACAACTCAGTCACTGGTGGGCAAATTCCCAACCTTCCCTGACCCCACCCTTCGGCCGCTCTGACCCCAGGTTCGGGGCTCTGCCGAGAGTGTCTCTGACCTGCCCCTGGGGTGGCTCATTTGGTGTCTGGCGCCGGCCTCCAGCCGAGGCCCTTCTGTGGTCCTGGTCTCCAGGTCCTCACACGCTGTCACTCTTCATACCCAGACCTTCTCAGATCTGCTTGGCTCCCATGGGGACGGGCCTAAGCCCCGGCCCACTTTCTCTCCCGGCTCTG